TGCTAAAATAGTAACTAAGCAAGATCTCATTTTTAAAACGTGCACCTGTTCATAGACCTTAGCATTAAAGGAAAAGTATATGCTACTTATGGATACATTAAGTCTCCCTAATATTGAGCTTTTGCCCAGATTTGCTTCCTCCATAATTTCTGGGTATTTTTCTAAGCCGTGTTAGTCCTTCAGAAACCTTCGGAACTGAGATATTCGCACATATTGATACCACATTAAAACTCACAAAGTCCTTAACTAAAAGTCTGTATATTTTTGAGTCATTTAAATTGACCATAATCTGTTCTATATAACATAACCCATCCGTAAAGACCACTTCACCAACGTCATTTGTCTTCAAAACAAACAGAACATTTTGGTGCAAAATTATGGACATCATATTTAATTTATAAGATTTCTTTAGAATAATTACCTGGCCAAAATGAGGGATCACTTCTCTTTCTATACCATTTTTAGCCTATTCTGGGAGCTTGCATGGTAATGTAATTAATTCGACTTTTGCTCATCTGGAAAAGCAAAGTTTAGACCCTTTTCCAAACGAAACTTAACATTCCCATCTATACGTGTAATGGATAAATTGAAGACTTTATTTTTTCTAGCACAAATAGCACTAAGTTCAGCTACATCCTTGTGGTTTAATCAAACGACTTGCTACTTGTTTCAGTTTCCTATCAGTGGAAATAGGTAATCCTTGACGCTTGCCAACAAAACAACATCTAGCTACTACATTACGTGAAATAAAAATTTGTTAAAACCTAATAGTATCGGCTTGCCAGGATATAGATTTCTTGCTTTTCGTATAGCCAGAATAAAGTTGACAAAAGTTTTTACGATACATATCTAGCATATGCAGAGAAAAGCTGGGTTTCTACTAATATCTTATTTCATAATAGTTTAGCTTACTTGCATTTCGAGTAAAAGTGTTCGGTGAAGAGATTCAAAGATGTATGTCCTACCTTGCAATATCAGAATGATGATTAAAAAATGTATATATAGGAAACTGGTGATAGTTGTAATCAAAACTTGATAGCCAAAAACTTTTGTTGTCCTAATTAATTTTTTCGCCTTATACAAAATGCACATAAGAATTTCTATTCAACATTATTATACGCTTCAATTGAAACAGCTAGACTTCTACTTTTTTATTTATAGCAATTTATCATTAAAGGTATAACAGCGAATAAAATCTAATAACTCTTTATGCAATCACTGATGGTAAAATATAATAAATATTTATGAAAAAGTACTAAAATATTCGAATTTTAACAAATAATTTAAAGCATTTATATTTTATTCCATTTTTATTGTCTCTATATATAACGAATTCTTCTTAATATTGTATTATTCATATTATTAATATATTATATTTTTTAAATAATATTATTTATTTTTTTATAGTCTTATTAAACTCTTTTCTTTTTTTTATCTGTTCAGTTCAAAGTTTTGTGCTAGCCAATGCAAGAATCGTCGATTATCCTATTGTTTATTGCAACGAAGGTTTTTCCAAGTTGATTGGATATGGCCGAGTGGAAATAATGCATAAGAGTGGAAGCTGCGCATGTTTTTACGGAGAACATACTACACAGGATATGAGAGAAAAATTAATCAATGCCCTAGACAACAAAACGTTGGACCAGTTTGAAATGCTTTTGTACAAAAAGAATAGTAAGAATTGTTGAATATCTTCTGCTAATTTATTACAATTGTATTATCCTGAAACACTAATGGCATCAGGTGTCAATCATATTTTTTATGTATTCGAAGTAAAATAAAATCTATGATGTAATGTATTTTATAAACTTCAATTTTTAAACTTTTTACGTCACGAAGACTAGCTCTAAATGAGCATACTGCAAAATAATAAATGATGTTATATAATCCTTTTTCGACACTATCGAAATGAGGATACATATTTCCTACTCTTATGATTTTATAATCCTGGCCACGGTATTCTCCGTTTCGTTATTATTTATCCAGCGTTAATTTAGTTAGTCTAGACTTTGCAAAAAAGTATTAACTTTAAAATTTTAACTCATTTACCAAGTACCAGTCATCCATGAAGTTCTGAACTCCATTCCTGAATATTTTTG